GAGGAGGGGGGAAGGGGAGTTTTGATGCTGTGTATGAAAGACACGTAGATAGTTTTATATCAACTATGGCTTGTCTTGCCTCACCTGCTGGATGTGTTCCTTCCAGCCATGGCCAGCCTGGACAGCGGTACAAAAGGCTGCATTGTGGTAGAGGACGCAGCCAAAGTCATCGCCGCTGGTGCAGATACGAACGCCGCAGAGACCACCACCAGACCCACCCAAAGTAAGTCTCCAAAAATTATTTAATGAAACGTGATTCATTTTTTTGTTGAGTGAAGTCACGTGCGTTAAATCGCATTATACAATATCCTTTACCCTTCGTGCCTGGTCCGAAACCCCCTCAGGTCGGAAATCTCTACCAAATGTTACAATGATGCTACCTTATGTCCGATGGTTTGTTGACATTATCCACCAATGGGGACACTTCGTCTGGTCACGTGGTCCAACCCTGGAGCATATAATACAACCCGTTCTCAAAAAATTCGTAAAGTCAATATTGACTTATTAACTACGTGCATAGGTGATATACTAAACATAATAGATACCCCTAAAAAGATTCATAGAAAACACCGACCTTACCTAACCTTGTTAGTATCTTAAGATAAGCATCTTATTGCTTCGTAATTGCAATTATTACTTAACCTATACCTATTATAGGTTAGGTAATAATTGTAATTACGAAGCAATAAGATGCTTATCTTAAGATACTAACAAGGTTAGGTAAGGTCGGTGTTTTCTATGAATCTTTTTAAGGGTATCTATTATGTTAAGTATGTCACCTATGCACATATTTAATAAGTCAATATTGACTTATTAAATTTGCGAGAACGGGTTGCATAATACTAGAGGGAGCATCACGTCTAATGACTTGACGTCAGTAATCAATCTACACCATCTATCACCTGTGTAACTGAATCAGTATATTTACATCCCTCTGGCAACAGCTGATAGGATGAATCATTTGCAAGGTGTTATAATAATATTTGTCTCAAATGGTAATTAATTTAAGGATATTTTAAGATGTTTGAGTAGAGTTGGGCCTAAGGAAGGTTGGGTAAGTTATTTTTTGGTGAGGTTGGTTTATGGAGGCGTTAGCACAACCTATCCAGTGCGTGCAGGATAGGCATGTCCCGAGCCTCAGCTTTCCAGCACAATCACGTGACTAAACGTACAAGAAACGACGTGCTGTTTCTGTGTCAGTCCATGTTTTTGTAAATAAATATGGCGGACCGGCCTGGAGCCAGAGTCACGAAGCAGTTACGCAAGTACTTACGAACGTGTACATCTTTCCTCAATCTTTGACAGCTTTGGTTACATTTATTAAACAGTTTACAAGCATGAAAACTTCCTAATCAACTGTTGTTATTGTTATAAACAGCCTCCTGGTGCTTCGGAGCTCATTAACTGTTTATTAATTGTAAACAAAGCCGCCAAAGATTGAGAAAAGATGTACAGGTTCGTAAGTGCTTGCGTAACTGCTTCGTGAATCTGGCCCCAGGCCCCATATTTGGTGATGGTTGATGGTGTGTTGTGTCTGGGTGAGCTGAGAGGCGTGTGCTACCAGCTACCTCCCAGTGAGCTGAGGAGCGTCTAAAGGAGTGAATACGGAACATTGTGGGCAGTAGTGCGGGTCTGGGGTCTCACTCATAGGCACATGACACCTTCAAGAGCCTCGACGTTGCTCACTCCATATGTCGCAGTAACCGGAGGCCGTACTCGGGTTCTCTGAAGGTTAAACACTGGAAGTTGTACACTGGAAGCTGTATATATGTACGGAGGCTGTATCCTGAAGGCCGTACCCTGGAGGCCGTACCCCAGAGGCCGTACCCTGGAGGCCGTACCCCGGAGGCCGTTCCACGTAGGCCGTATCCTGAAGGCCGTACCCTGGAGGCCACACTCCGGAGGCCGTACCCTGGAGGCCGTTCCCCGTAGGCCGTACCCTAGAGGCCGTACCCTGGAGGCCGTACCCCGGACGCCGTACCCCGGAGCCCGTACCCCGGAGTCCGTACTCTGGAGGCCGTACCCTGGTGAGCCGGCTAGGATGACTGGCTTCCGCCTGAGGAGGGAAGAGACAAGACGCCGGGGAGAGGAAATGCTCAGGATGAACCTTTCTGAATATTGAACGGAAACGTTTGGGCAACACAAAGAATTCAAAGAACTTGGGTTAAAGAAATGGTTGAATGTTGTTGTTGATGCAGCATACGTGGGCTGATGTATGTTGTATGTTTCCACCTAAATGTGCTTGCTCGATGTGTGCGTACACACCTAGCTGTATTTTTGGGGAGGATGAGCCACGGCTCTTGGGTCCCACCTTTCAACTTTTAATAGACTTTTGGCGGTTCCCGGCTTTTGTATAAGTTCCAAAGGCCTTTGGGGTCAGTCATGTCTACATTTAAAGCTGTGTATAGAGTCTGCCTCCACTACATCACTGCCTCATACATTCCATTTGTTCATTATCTTGACAATGAACAAAATTCTTTCTGATGTCTCTATGACTCATCTGGGTATCATATATATTCCCCCCTGAGTATGATAAATGTGGTAATCATGTCCCCCTTGTTCCTCCTCTCTTCGAGTGACGTGAAGTTTAACACTTGTAGTCTTTCCTAGTAGCTCATGCCTGTCAGCTCTAGGTGGCATACTTTCTCCAGCTTTGTTTTGTACGTAGGGTCTCCACGCTGGTGCCGCGTATTCTACAATTGGTCTGACATAACTGATATACAAGGAACTCTTCTTTGTTCAGATTTATACAGACAGGTAGTTCTTTTGAGGACAAGAACCTGTCTGAATATTGTGCCAGGGGCCTCGTAGCCTGGTGGATAGCGCGCAGGACTCGTAATTCTGTGGCGCGGGTTCGATTCCCGCACGAGGCAGAAACAAATGGGCAAAGTTTCTTTCACCCTGAATGCCTCTGTTACCTAGCAGTAAATAGGTACCTGGGATTTTGTCAGCTGTCACGGGCTGCTTCCTGGGGGTGGAGGCCTGATCGAGGACCGAGCCGCGGGGACACTAAAGCCCCGAAATCATCTCAAGATAACCTCAAGAAGAATCTCAAGATAACCTCGCGTACTGAGCTGATGATATTCTTCTGATGTGGACTTCTGGGGACAGGTTGGGTGTAATATCAACCCACAAGTCTTTTTTTCTCTCTGTTTGATTCCAATATGATTTCCTCTCCTGTGTGATACATTGTGTACGGTCTTCCAGTTCACGTAGCAAGCTTCATTACTGTGCACTTGCTAGACTTGAATTCTAGTAGCCACTTGAGGGACCAAATTTCCATTTTGTCCAGGTCTTTGTTATTGTTTCATGCAATCTTCCATTGTATGTATCATCATAATTTTTGCAGTGTCAGCACACGTGCATCGAGGAAGAAGACGTCTATCCCCCACTGGTAGTTTTTCGCATAGATTAGGAATAGTCTCTATTATCTCTGAGCCTCGGGAGACAATCTTGAAAACTAATCTCATTTAAATCATCTTCTTTCTCCTCCTGCTCCTCCTCCTGCTCCTCCTGCTCCTGCTCCTCCTGCTCCTGCTCCTCCTCCTGCTCCTCCTGCTCCTGCTTCTGCTCCTCCTGCTCCTGCTTCTGCTCCTGCTCCTCCTGCTCCTCTTCCCCCTCCTCCTCCTCTCCCCTTCTCACCCCCGCTCTCTCCAATTGATCGTCAATCACCCTAGCTATAATTACTGGACAGCCCGGACTGAACTGCATCCGATCATCTGGTTTTAATCAGCTAAGTTATCGATCCGGTGTAATCCTCTTGTGACGGTCGACCTTAATGACACGCCAGAGAGGGAGAGAGGTTTAGCACTCTCTTCTTACCTACGACTCTTTCACCCCATTGATGTCTTGCCAGATATCCTTCCCTCGCCACCCGCGCCAGAAACAGTTGTGCTCTGATGGTCTACCTCGAGGATCAGTTCTGGGGACTCGGCTGCTACCTTCCACCTATTTTGTAGGGTAGGAGGAGGGAGGGAGGGGTCCCAAAGGGCCCTACCCCTGCCATCCTATGTTGGGCCCCTACCATTCACCAGTCATTATGCAAAGTTGGATGAGGCTCGAACCCCGGACAACCAGGGAAAACAAACACATCAGACATTTTATGTTATAGATATAGATTTTCTTTCGTAATGTAAGTTCTGCCTCTCTACAGTCCTGCCTCTACTCTACAGTCCTGCCTCTACTCTACAGTCCTGCCTCTCCTCTACAGTCCTGCCTCTACTCTACAGTCCTGCCTCTACTGTACAGTCCTGCCTCTCCTCTACAGTCCTGCCTCTACTCTACAGTCCTGCCTCTACTCTACAGTCCTGCCTCTCCTCTACACTCCTGCCTCTCCTCTACAGTCCTGCCTCTCCTCTACAGTCCTGCCTCTCCCTGCTCTCTCCTCTACACAGTCCTGCCTCTCCTCTACAGTCCTGCCTCTCCTCTCAGTCCTGCCTCCCTCTACTCTCCTGTACAGTCCTGCCTCTCCTCTACAGTCCTGCCTCTACTCTACAGTCCTGCCTCTCCTCTACACTCCTGCCTCTCCTCTACACTCCTGCCTCTCCTCTACAGTCCTGCCTCTCCTCTACAGTCCTGCCTCTCCTCTACAGTCCTGCCTCTCCTCTACAGTCCTGCCTCTCCCACTTGAGCGAGCTTACATAATGCAGGGCGGCGCCGGCCCCGCCCGGGGCGCCCTCTACCATCTTATGAATAATGTATAACAGTACTCTCACACTCCCTCACCCTCCCCCTCACCTCCCTCACCATACACCGCCCTCACCATACACCGCCCTCACCATACACCGCCCTCACCTTCACTGCCACAGTGTATCACGACACAGTCCGCTTCACAGTATGTAGTCAGCCCCCCCTCCCCCTCCCCCTCCCCCTCCCCCTTCTATATGAAAGTATTATATATATTATTTTGAGAGGCGTTTCCTTATATACTCAAATGGTATTGATCTGGGATGACACACCTGGGGTCCTCACACACCTGGAGTCCTCACACATGTGGAGTCCTCCCACACCTGGAGGTTCCTCACCTGACAGATTTGGTAACAACGCTTTCTGGGAGTTATTAATTATGTTTTAATTCGTGTTATTGTTCCCCAAAGGTGTTCTTGTTATCTGCAGATCATATTTCAGCTTATAACGTATTTTGTGGGTAAAAAGTTCTGAGATGATGAACTGCCCGATAAGCTATAAGTTATCCCTTCCCAGTGCTGTATAGTCGTAATGGCT